GAGAGGCCGGCGTACCGCAAAAAAAAAAAAAAAAAAAAAAAAAAAAAAATGTATAGCTGATTCACTTTGTTATACAGCAGAAATAACACACCATTGTAAAGCAGTTATACTCCAATAAGGGGGTTTAAAAAAAAAAGGCAAATTAAAGTTCTTTTTTTAGACTCTCTGGTTCAAAACTTGTGACTAGTTTAAAAAAAGTAAAGTCCTTTATTTGTACCTCTATGTGGAAGTGAAACTACTAAGCATCCTGCTCTGGATTTTAATTGCTTAAGTAAGGGAATTATGAGAGCATGGGGACTAATCATATTATCTGGTGCCTTTTATCTCAAGGTCATTGGTTCAAATCCAGACTATGCTGCCAGAAAATGAAGGTCACTGTAGGGCAGTAGTTAGCGCATGGAAACAGAACTGTGTTCTTGCATTAGAGTCTCATAGCCTCAAATGACAGATACTGTCATATTTGATACTGATTCTTTCAGGCTGAAAGCAGAACAGAACTAAAACAACGTTTTAGTAATCCCTTTCTCCCTGTGAATCAGCTGAAATCAGCTAGGCTACTCCTTGTAGAGTTGATCTTCATGGAATGAAATGTAGAGCTAAAACAGGTATAAAATGTTAAGAGAACTGTGTATGTATTTCATTATAGATGTTAAATAAGTGGTTCAAGGCATAATGTGAACTTGACTTAAAATTTAGCCGTACTGGTGAGATGAACTTGAAAAAAGAAAAAGTAATACATACATACACATTGATAACAGGAAGAGAATGTGCTGCTAAATAAGTTTTAGTGATTCCATGCCATAAATTTCAATAATGTTCACTTAATCCTCTAAATTGCTACAACACATGGACTTCATTTATGTTAAGAGCATCAACGAAGAAAAAGGGGTGGGGGGCTTCCCTGGTGGCGCAGTGGTTGAGAGTCCACCTGCCGATGCAGGGGACGCGGGTTCGGGCCCCAGTCCGGGAAGATCTCACATGCCGCGGAGCGGCTGGGCCCGTGAGCCATGGCCGCTGAGCCTGCGCGTCCGGAGCCTGTGCTCCACAACGGGAGAGGCCACAACAGTGAGAGGCCCGCGTACAG